AGATTACTATCAAGACTTTCAGACAGATTGCCCTACATATGTAGTCAAATTTCAGAAATTGATAGAAAAAGAGCGAATTTATGACTTTTTAGTTGGTATGAACATCGAATATGATCAAATACAGGTTCAGGTACTTGGTAGGATCATCTTCCTTCATTAGAATAAAGTTATGCTTATGTCTAATAAGAAGAAAGTAAAAAGAATGCTATGCTATACATAACACCAGTTGAGAAAGTTGAATTAATTGCTTTGTCTAATCAGTTCAAAGATCTACGGAAGTATGACTACTGTGGCAAGACAAAACACACTAAAGAAATTTACTGGAAGTTTATGGAAAACCAACTGGAGGTCGTAAGAGAAGAAATGGTGGATCTATTATGAGATTTCAAGAAATTTAGTTGGGACAAATGAAACACCTGACACACCAACAGTTGGAGCCTTTTCAAATGAAGAGATTCAAACCCTGAAGCGTATTCTGTTTTAATTTAACTCTTCATCATCTATAAGTGCAACAAATTTAGTAAAACTATAATCTTCAAATAAAAAGGATGATTGGATGACACTTCAGAACTTAATTTACAAGTTGGACATATGTCATATCCCTACATCAACTTAAGAGGGTTGTTGAATAAGATACTTTATTATTATTTACTAGAATAAGCATTTTATTATGATACAAATTTTATGTAATAAAAATTCTATCAAAATAGGTAATTTCCTTATTACTAGTTTATGAGTTGTATAAATAACTAAATATAATATCCTAAAGGGTGAGAAATAAAAATTGTATTTTTTCTCCAAAATCTACGTCCCAAACATTCCCATTTAACAAATCAAGGTTTGCAGTCATCACGAAATTTATGTAGGAATGAGCAACATTGTGCAAATTTATGCAGTCATCAATTTTGTATCACCATCCATTCTCATTTTGAAGCTATGGTTTGTATCGACAATTTGTTTTTCCATTGGGATCACAGATTTCAAAGATCTCAAAGTCTTGCAATTTTTTGCTGCACTACTTCAAAACTCTAGTTCAAGTTTTCATCAAGCGGGGCTTGATTTAAGGTTGAATATTTTTAGTATTAGAAAATATTTTTTTGCAATTATATTTCTTCTTATGATAGAGTTTTAAGTGCGGAAATTTTAGCTAGATAGAAGGGTTATTTTGATTGTATATTTTGTATTTTAGTTTTCATTTTTACTATCAGGTGCTATCTTAGCACAATGGCAGGAATTGTGGTAGAGTATTCTCATAGGTCCTTTTCAGGTGCACATTTTTTATTGGTAAATTTTGTTGTCCAAGTCCTATTTGCCTGATTTGTAATACTCTAAATTGGTCGAAAAGGTGGTGGCAACTTCCTAGTGGTGAACTTGTGTCACTTTGCACTTGTCCAGAGGTGAAAATTTCATATTGGATTCATTAGTTGTCAGCTTACTGTTGGTTCTTTTTCACCATGTATTTTTACCTGTATGAGACAGGTGATGTATTGTAAACTCATTATGGTATTTTGGATTAGAATTTGAGGCCTTTTTTCTTAAAATTATGGTTTCTACTTCATTATCTTCTACTTGTTTCTTCTTCATTTCTCCTCCCTTTGCCTCTCTATTTTCTCCGACATTTTCTAAGATTCTTCATTAGTTCTTCCTTTTCCTCTTTGTCTCTTCTCCTCTCAACCTTGGAGATTTTGTTGAAACGTTGTTCATTTTCTTCTTTTTTTTTTGTTGAAATAGAAAGTATAGTACAATTCATTAATTCACAAGCACAAAGAGGGTGTCAGCCCATGGTACAGAATATTTACTTGTCAATTAGATGTCAATAAGGTCCCTAAAATCCTTCATTTAATAAAGAGCATCACCCATAACTAAAAAACCCAGGATTTGAAATCATTTAGCTCTAACCCTATCAATATCTTCAACCTCCCGCTAATGTTCATTTTCTTCTTAGTGCTTGTGTAATTTTGAAAGTGTGGTTTTCTATCATCTAACCTCCTCACTTTATTTTAGTTTCCAAACATTGGACAGGGTACAATAAATTTTGAATGAAATTTCAAGATGAGTTAAAGTCCTTAGCTAATACCTCGCCTTTGTCAACAGAATCACTACTAACAATAAAAGAAACAAGAAATACTGACACCTGATGAAGCTGCCCCTGTCAAAACTAATCATATTGAGAAGATTTCCTTTTTCCAATGATCACATTGAGGTTTTCAAAGTGCATGTTCTAGTCTTGCCGTTCTTGATGCTTTCTTACTTAGAAACTTGAGCTTGAGTCTTTTCTAAGTGGAGAGAATGGAGAAGATTGAAAACAAACCAGATTGGAATATCTCTAAGTAATTTTGCATAATTATTATGTTTTAGTATTTCAATTCGGTCAAGACTTACATTTGGATAGGAGTAGTTCTAGGAGATTTGAGTTTGATTGGGATTTTTGGTTATTCACCTAGTTTGGTTCTGACTGATTCCTATATAATAATGGTATTCCTCAAGGAATATGCAGGTTATGTTGGATTGAACATTGTTCCTGATTTATGATTTTCCAGTCACTCTTTCTTCCTAAAAAAGAAAAAATTTTCAGGTCACTGTTTTTCCCTGGCCCTAATGTTCCTTCCCTTTTCCTTACATTTTTTATTTCCTCACCTTGATTTCTCTTTGCCTCTATTTCTGTTCTTCCTTTACTGTTATTTTGTCCTACATCAGTAAGGCAGAGTAAAAACTTCATAGAATGTTATATGTACTTCAATTACATGAAAATTGTTATTAGCCTGACTTATACATCTACTTTTTAGAACTCACACACTTACGCACACTACTTTTTGTGAAGACCTAGTCATAGATCATCTATTAGTCGGTTGTTATGACCGGAATGCCTTATTACCATTTCAACAATAAGATACCAAACTCGACTTGTATTTTTCTTTACCCGTACAAAAAGAAAATATGCAGAAAAAGGCAAAAGAAAAAAAAAGAGGTAGGCATTGGCTTACATGTGAAGAGTGTTAGATCATAAATGATGAATGTGAACTAATTATTGTCATATTTGGAATAATTGGTCATTCAACTAGTTGTGTTACATGGTATTAAAGCAGGAATCTTAGGGCCAAACTATGGGAACATCAACCTCTTGTTATTCACTCAGGTTTTCTACATTTGGGTCTTCATGCAAACCTGTTGATTTGAGTTTGCTTGTACTCGTTTTGATTTGCTTTCAGGCTAAGGTCTCTATCACCTTTACATGAGGGGATGTGTTAAGCATAGATGATAATGTTGGTCTTTTCTTGTCAGTTTGAATTCCAATTGTTTCAGAAAGAGCATAGTTCAATATTTTTGGGCCGAGAAGCCTATATCTGATTCTATACTTTTTCAAATTGTTCAATTAAGTCCCTTAAGAGTTCTTACGTTGAACTAAATGCTGAAAGTTTTGAAATTGATTGAATTTAACCCAATTACTGAAGTGTCAAAACAATGCTTATGGAACATGTAATCTCCCCGAGGCAATCGATTATTGGGTAAGTATTATTTTATAAAATGAATCATTAAAATAACACTGACGTGGCATGTATTTTCTGCCCGGCATTTAATTATTAGGTAAGTATTATTGTATAAAATATTATAATTAATACTATTAAATAAAGTTAAGTTTTGATATTAAAAATTAGAAAACAAAATGAAACAAAAAAGAGATTAACTCTATCTTTCATCATCACCATTTTCAACTCAACACTGTCCCTTTTGCAACCCTCAAACTCTATCCTGTGTATTTATATACAATCTCCCTCTTATTTCATTATCTATTGCCTTCCTATGCGATAACCCTTGCACCACTCTGCAGCTATGGCAGCAAGTTCCAGCCTCATCATCATGCATGGGCTCACAATAGGCAGCCTGAGTCAGATCCTAGTATCTCCTTCAAGTAGTAGCTCCATCTTCTCTCTTCTCAGCACCATGACTCACTTGTTGATACTTTTGCTCTCATTTCCTATCCTTCTCTTCCTCTTTCTTTCTCATTCTAAGCCCTGTCTTTTTCTTCTGCAAATCAAATTCATGTTACATGGTTTTGGGTGCATTATGGAGTACAAAGAAGGAGATTGTACTTCTATTGGAGGAGGATGCAATTCTGCGGAGAATCTTGATTTTCTGGGTTTATTTGCGTTTGCTTGAGACTTTTCTTTCCCTGAGACTTGAGGAATTGTGAGTGATTCAGGTTTGATGGGTGGGTTGAACTGAATTTGTGATTTGATGAAGATGGGATATGGGAAGATTATAAAAGGTGTATATTTGATGAAGATGGGATTTGGGGAGATTATGAAAGGTGTAATTAGGGCTTTTTTCTGTGTTGTATAGAGACAGAGCAGAAGAGAGATTTTAGGTTTTAGTGAGAAAATGAAAGATGCTATAGGTTTCTGGGTCCTAATAGTTGAAGATGAAATACAAAAAAGACGTTATTTTCCTGTTTGGAAAGGAGGAAAATCAAAAGAACAATACAGCTTTGCATTTTTGTTTAGAGGGCAGAAGAAATTCTCTGATGAAAATGGAAAAAAAAAATTTCTAAATATTGAAAATTTATTTGTTTTTAAATTTATTAACTAAAAAATTTCTTTTTTTAAAAAATAAGATAAATAAAAGGTAATATTCTGCCAATTTCACTTCCACTTGGCATAAAAAAGCTGCCTTAGCTGCATGTGACCCAATTTGGAACTTTTGATGTTGATTTGAGCATCGAAATTCTCTAGGGACTTGATTGAACAATTTGAAGAAGTTCAAGGGTGAATTTAGGCTCTAAGGGGATATTTCTTAAACAGAATTTGAAGAGTCTGTTTTTAGTATCTTAAGATAAGTCCCCAGTCTTTTTTATTGTAACCACAGATGAAATGTACATTTTTGTGATAGATGCATATAAAGATTGAAACTTCAACTGTTTCACACACACAAACAAGATATCAAATTACAGTTATATGGTATGGCATATTGGAATAGTTTGCAAACTTTTATGACCCTAATATTTTGTTGAAAATGATGCTATTTTGCAGCTACAACATTAACTGGTCTACATTTTGCAACAACCACCTTGTTGACTGTTCTTCTTCGGGGGTTGGGGTATATCCAACCTTCTCAACTACCGCTGCCTGACCTTCTAAAATTTGTTTTGTTTGCAAACTTCTCAATTGTTGGAATGAATGTGAGTTTAATGTGGAATTCAGTGGGGTTCTATCAGGTTAGTCGTACTGAGTCACTAAATTATTTTTCCTATACTTGTGGAAGTTTCTGGAAGTTACAGTGTTGCTTCTACTTTATTGACAGATTGCAAAGCTGAGTATGATTCCTGTGTCATGTTTCTTGGAAGTTGTCTTGGACAATGTACGTTACTCAAGGGACACAAAGCTTAGCATAATATTAGTTCTCCTTGGTGTTGCAGTATGTACTGTAACTGATGTAAGTGTCAATGCCAAGGGGTTTCTTGCTGCTATTGTAGCTGTCTGGAGCACAGCTCTTCAACAATATGTAAGTAGCCCTACAAACCTGATCCTTATGCAGGGAGGAGTTGGTTGGAATAGCTTTTGACTGGTATCTAGTTAGATCAGTACTTCATCCCGTAGCTACAGCATAAATTTGAAGCACAAACACTCTTAGGAATGCTTTTTTGAGTTCTACTTGAATCCTCGCCAAGCGTTGATATATTTGAAGTCCATAAACATGCCACTGGTTATATTTGGTAGATGATCCAGCATTTTATTGATGTTTCTTTTTTAAAATTTCTTTACAGTATGTCCATTTTCTTCAACGGAAGTATTCGTTAGGATCTTTCAACTTATTGGGTCATACTGCGCCAGTACAAGCATCATCTCTGTTGGTCGTAGGGCCCTTTCTTGACTACTGGTTGACAAATAAAAGAGTTGATGCGTACAACTTTACTTGGACATCTGTGGTAAGCTTTGCATGCAAGTTTAATAGGTTTTTCTTGCTATCATCACACAAACTGCTATTTTTCACTAGTGCTTCTCAAATTGTTTATAAGCATGTTTTTCTTTACATTCGATGCGGTCAACATTTCAAATGCATGTATTATTTATACGTTCCACTTGACTTGAATTTCGTGGCAGGTTCCATCTGTTGTGCAACAAAGAAGCAAGCTAATTCCAAAATAGAGTTCTTACTTGTTTTTAGGAACAAGAGAGAAAGATCAACTGATCCACTCTCCTCAAAGAAAAAAACAACTGATCAATCTTTCTTATTTAAGAAAAGGAAAAATAAACTTATCAAAATTTGTCCATACAAAGGTTAATCAGTTGTTCTTTGGGGGGAGTGATTAACAATAGCTGGCTGCAATTGCTTGCGTAAGTTCATTGAAAAGAAAATCAATTAGTCGAAGACACCCTTTGAAAGTTGATTAGAATAATAGGTTCCTGCTTTTATTGGCACAATATCATATGAGAATCTGAGAAAGATTTTTGAATGCTATAGCAATTGCCTACTTAGTCCTCAGTGTGTGGGGACCTCCCTTGTGCACTTGGGTAATTAATACAGCATTCAGGAATTAAGGAACTCAAAAGATTATCATGAGAGTTGGACTGACCATGTATATTTACGAATGGTTAACCACGTCAAACCTTATGTTGTCAAAATAAAAAAACCAGCTGACTTCAAATTGTTGCATTTACTGACATTTTATTCTTCATTATTGTAAATGAATTTGGAGTTCTTAGTTCTCTTTGTTATGAACCAAATATATTTTACTTGCAGCTTGTCACGGATACCGTAATGATTCAGACTAGTTTTGTGTTGTTTGCAGTTTTTCTTAGTCCTCTCTTGCAGCATTGCAGTTGGAACCAACCTCAGCCAGTTCATCTGCATTGGTAGGTTTACAGCCGTGACCTTCCAAGTTCTTGGCCATATGAAAACCATTCTGGTTCTGGTGTTAGGATTCACCTTTTTTGGAAAAGAGGGTCTTAATCTACAAGTAGTTGTGGGCATGATCATTGCAATAGCAGGAATGATCTGGTATGGCAATGCCTCATCTAAACCAGGTGGGAAAGAGCGTAGGAGCCTTTCATTACCAAGCAACAGATCACAAAAACAGAATGGATTACCTGAATCCACTGAAGTAAGTGAAAAGGTCTAGGGTTCAGCAAAAGAAGAGAAAAAAGACACCCAAAAATAGAGATGAAAATGGAACTTCGGCTTATTCAAGCTGATTCTGGTAGTATCTTTACACCGAGGAAGTCAGAATCTCCAAAAATCATATATTTACATTTTTGTTCATCACAATTCAAAGAGTTTACCCAGATTAAAATTGTTCACGAAAGAAAGATTTGTCCACGAATTATTTAATTTATATTAATTTATAATTGTTATGCTTGTTAAGAGGGATGTTTATGTGAACATCCTTGTACCAAAGGGACTTATCCTCCGGGTATGTTGAGCAGAGTTTTGTGCAGAGACCCATAAATTGTTTAGGCATTAGAATGCAACTTGTAATAGTAATGCTGTTGGCTACCCATCAATAAATTTGCTATTTGCGTTTCAGAGAATCCGAAATTAATGCTTTAGTATGGATGCTTTGGAGTACAACATAAAGAAATAAATAGCACGAACAGTTGTGTATGTCGAAGAGATTTGTGGAATCAGCATCTATTTTTAGTTTTTATTACTTTTCTGTTACTTTGAAGTTGTAATAAAATTCGATAGTGAAGTAAATTGCCATTTGAGAAAATGTAATGTTGTGGAGATGACCTTATCCGTGCAGATTTAACTGCCTGTTCCCTGCGTTTCTGTCGTTAAAAAACAATAGAAATTATAAATACTTTAAAATCATAATTAATAGAAGACATAATTTTTGTAAATAATTGTAATAACTATTTTTTCTGTCGTTTCAATATTTATTATTAATTTTATAATATAATTAAATACTACATGGTGTATTAAATTTGCATTTTACAATAAGTCTTAGCAAAATAGTTAACTGTTTTTAATTTAAGAACATTTTTTGAAAGTAGTTTTATCAGCTCATAGTACAAATAGCAATTGGGATCAAACAATTTGGTGGATAACGTTACAGGTGAATATTGGATATAGGCTTCGATCATGAGATTTGTGGGTCGCTGTGCTATTCATATAGTATTTTCTCTAAAGGTTTATCCTGATGTATTTGTATTCCATCACCTTTAAAGTTTCTTTTTTTTTAGGTATAAGGACAATTATGTTCCGCTCAATGGTGTTATTGTCAGGATATGTCCTTAAGGGGTCTTCTCTTGAGCTTGGGAGATTTTCTCCCACCTGGGGAATTTGAATAAATAAAATTAAGCTTTTTGTTTTAGCCAGCAAGCATGCTAACCAGTCCAAGGATTTAACCCGGCCCATAATAAAATTCTTTGTATATAATTATAATTTACTAACATTTTTCTTAAATAAAATCTTGAATTAATAGTTTAATTAGTTTAATAATTAATCTGAAAAAGTTGACGAGAGGCTTTAATGCAAAGGCAGTGGGTATTAAAGATGTTTGATTTCATTTGCACACGTGCACGTGGCCCCGGTTGCCTTTTTTTGTAATTGACTTTAAAAAAAAAAAAAAAAAAAAAAAAGCCCTTTTCAATTTTAAGATCCAACCTTGCTGGGACATTTATTCATTATTATTATTATTTTTCTGATATATAAATTAATTTTTATTAAATATTTTGACGATGGATAAATTAAATAAGATTTCAATGAATAAAAATATTGATTAATTTATTTATGATGTATATATTTAATTTTTTCTTTTAAAAAAATTACATATATTATTATTGTTTGCATCATCTCTTCATCTTTTTATGTGTGCTTAGCATTTATGCCAACACAATTTTGATTTAACATTTTTTTTTTTCCTCTTGAGGAACTATATACATGCATTATATATATATATATATGAGAAAAATAATAATAAAAAAGAAAATAAAATTTGTTGTAGAAATTAAGTGATATTTACATATTAAATTAACATAATCAACATTTTAACAAAGACATAGGCAGAAATACAGTTCTACATAGAGTAACATTTTCACAAAAACTAGCCAAAATAGTAACAATATAATTATAAAATTATTGATTATTACCATCTTGAATTCAATAATTTTTACATTCTTATCATTAATATTTCTTTTCCAACACCCATTTTAAAATTGACAAAACTTTACATAACAAATATTTATAGATAATCGTGAATTACATAATTCAAACTATATATATATATATATATATATATAATCAAAACAAAGGAGAAATATGGAAAGTTTGTTTGGGAGTTGTCCCTTGTGTTACTTGCTAATAAGATTGAAACCCTGGAAACAGCTTGCAGCATTTGAAGGGACAAGTTATTAAATTTGACCCATTTCTTTTTCTTTTTTTTTTTTCAAATTATTTATTTGGTTGCTTATCTTGTAATTACACCTACCTATATATATATATATCTATATGTATATTGCATGTGCTCCAACAATATCCCTATACTTCCTCCATCTCATGTGTCCTTTTTTTCCCAAAAATTTCTGCTAAAATCAAGGAATTTAATGAAAATATAATACTAAATTAATGTATGTATTAGACTCTCGAACTAAAAAAAATTAAAAGTTGATAACTTAATTAGTAATAACTGTTTATTTTTATATAAAGAGAAAAATTGATACTACAAAAGATTATTTTTTAAAAATTATGCCTTAGCTTATGTAAAGGTGATGTAAATTCATATTTTTAATTTTATTTCATTAAATAATAAATAAAATAAAACCTTAAATACTCTTTAATTATACATTTATACAAAAATTAGATGGATTTTGTAAAAATTTTATTGGGTCTTAAAAAATATTAGGACCCATAATAAAGGGTGGGTGAGAGTGAGGTAAGGATGGGATTTCTCTCAACTTTAGCACATGCCTTCTTGAAATTGAAATCTATTCGACTGTTTTAAAACATAGACATGGGGAAAAAAAAAAAAGAAAAATACATGAAAAAAATAGTGAATATGTGAGAGAATTAATAAAAGTAGGGCATATCACAATCAAACTAAAATCAAATCAATTAGTTTTTTTTTTTTTTTTTGGTGGGGAGTATCCTTCACTTAATGAGTAAATGGCCTTTCATTTCATACCTTTTTAAAGTCTCATTGTGCCTACTACTTCTATTTGTTAAATCCAAAGACACCATCCTACCAAAATATGACCTTGTATTCTTGCTTTTGTTTTTTATGTTGTCTTCCACTACATCTTTTTCTTTTTAAAGATACAAACAAATCAATAAGTTGAAATCAATAGTTGTTTGAGCATAGGGTTACGTTTAGTTCACATTTTAAATTTAAAAAGATATTGGACTGATGTACAATACAATTGATATAAAATCTTAAATGAATATAGTATTTTAATTGTAAGTGACTTTTGTATCTAAATGTAAAGCAGGAATTCTAGGATTGTTCCGGATGGAAATACTAATGAATTTTAAAGTGTACAATCTCTTTCAAAGTTAGAAAGAAGAAGGTATAGAAATTATTATGTGCTTACTCAAAGTTGATACAAGAGAATTTGCTTGACTTTCGTCATTTTATGTGGGTAGGTTAATGTAAGGCTTGATTGAGGTTCAATTACATTACTCAATGAATTATAGTATTGATATGAAATCTTAAATGAATATAGTATTTTAATTGTAAGTGACTTTTGTATCTAAATGTAAAGCATGAATTCTAGGATTGTTCCGGATAGAAATACTAATGAATTTTAAAGTGTACAATTTCTTTCAAAGTTAGAAAGAAGAAGGTATAGAAATTATTATGTGCTTACTCAAAGTTGATACAAGAGAATTTGCTTGACTTTCGTCATTTTATGTGGGTAGGTTAATGTAAGGCTTGATTGAGGTTTAATTACATTACTCAATGAATTATGGCAACAATGAGTGAGTGTCAAAAATCATAGAATTGTATAATGAGTACTTTCTCATGATATTCTCTTAAAAAAGAAGTGAACTTAGTAATAAGAGGATAATAATTTTTCGATTAGTAATTTTATAAACTAAAATTTATGTGATAAATATATTGTCACTGTAAAAGAAGAATGTAAGTTCATATTTTGGTTGTCATTGAGATATTTCTCACGCAAAGATGATCATGCTGTAGACATGCAAAATTATCAAATTTCATCATAAACCCGGATTTGGTACAATTTTAAGCAAATTATTACTTGTTCACAAAAAATAGTAGAGGAAAATTTATAGTA